CTTTTTTTTTTTCTTTCAACCCACACTTTCAGTGCGTTAATTTATGCTGCAGCATTAAACCTGTACAAAAAGCTTTAAGGACACTTACTTAAATTACTCCTCCATTAAGTCAATTAAAATACTGCAATTTAGCCTAAACCAACAGGGAACTCCACAGAAGAATTTAGACTGCTTTAACTAACGCAGCACAAGTCGCCTGCGAGCACCAGACTGCGGTAACAAGGCAGGTGCTGCACCTACCAAATCACGCCGTACCTGCGGCGCTAACAAAAACCCCACCTTTTCTCCTTCCAAAGCAACGTGACTCTCGGCGCTCATTTAGCCGTGCCAATGCAACTTATCCTTCGCTGGAAAAACACACAGAAAAGCTTCACCATAGGGAGACTGTAGTGACAGCAAGGCCCTTTCAGCCACTGCCCACTGAATTTCTAATCTGGGATTAAAACAAAGCAGATCTGTATTTTACAATCAAGCTTACATTAAGTTCTTCACCGCTAGTAGTTTCTAAAAACTGGATCCTGTTTGGCTGATGAATGCTAACAGTATAACTAACTGCAATAAGACAAACTTTCCCCTTTACTTTCCTCTCCAAATGTTGTGTAACTAGAATCATGAAACTATCTCAACACTTAAATTTCCATGTGTAACCATGCAAGTTTTCTGTCACCACATTTTAGAGGCATGCTAATACATACTTCTTGGAAATAATGTCATCAAATGAATTTCCTTTTTACCACATCTGAGGAAAATTGTTGCATAATTATACGCTTTCACCTGTAGTAAAAAAAAAAACCCAACAGACTTTCCATCTATGCGGAGAAATAGAATTTATTTAAATAATCTCTGATCTGGGTCTTCTTGTACAAAAATAAATTCTTCAAGAGGGGTTTGATGATTCGTTGGCCAACAGCTTCTCTCACATGTGTAAACTATAACAGTTCCAAATTCCACTGACAGATCTAAAAACAAAGCAATAAAGGTCTGTAATGTAAAGGTATGAAAAGTGACATAACTGGGGGCTATTGCTTATTGCTATACTTCAATCTTCGCCAATTCAGAAAGTATTTTTCATATTCAGTCTCCTACACAAATAGCATTTTCTAATTTTAAAGATTTTAAAGCAAGCTGACTCAGAATTTTCAAAGAGCTTAAGTGTCTGCAATCTTATCTGACAATATTTATTATTTTCCAAGGCCTCATTTAAGAGGCAATAAAGACAAATTACTCCCAAGATCATGGACTTATCTATATTGCTGTTATTAAAGCTCACTAGTGAGCAAATGAAGTTGCAATCATAGAGTCTCCATAAACCAGAGTTGTATCTTTTGCTTAGTGAAATCTGTAATGGAAACAAGAGTGGGTTCTACGTAAGATGATCACTGTAGTTAGGCACATCAGTGCGTGTGGTTAGCAAGAAACAATCCAAATCGCAGTTCACTAAACTATACCAAGAAGGTGACTGTTTCTAGTATTCATTCAGCTAAGTCAAAGGTCAACACCTGAATCACTCTGGAGCATGCTGACCAGCGCTGGCATGAGTTGAAATTCAAATACTCTGTTGCTTCCACAGTTACTGCAGGCTGGAATACCTTTGTTAATGTTGGCTGGAGGACATGTTATGAATAAAGGCTGGCCGCCCCAAGAGTATCTAAGAGAAGAAAGGAAAGAAGTAATTACTTTTTTTGTATCTTAATTTCCTATGAAAACTTACATGCTGCCAACAGTGTTCAGGATTCTCTGAAACCTCTGAATTTGCTTGAAGTAGAAAACATTGTTATGAGCCAGAATCGTTGCCTGAGCTTCAGATGAGTCATTAAACAAAGAATAATGATGGGGAGGGGGAAATACTTGGAAGGTCAACACTTGGAAAGTCTTAAGGGAAGAGCTGGATTTAAAGGAGACAAATGCTTTGAATTGACACCTCCAAAATATGCTGTACCTGACTCATTTAATTAAGCAAACTACACTTTCCTGAAAAACAGAATCCTAACCAGTGGCAGTTAAAGATATTCAATATAGAATAGGTCTCAAAACCACTGTAGTTATGTCACAGAACTGATGTTTTATTTATAAGAGCTATCATACCTCCACAACTAACAGGAAGCCAAGATCGAAGACTGCTTCCACTGAATGCCAAGCAGGGAATTCTGTGCTGTACTGAAAGCTCAACAGAGATCTGGCAGCCCGGGAGAAATGGGGGCCCAACAGGCATACTCGCAACACCCATGAAAGGGAAAGGGAGGGCTATGTAAAGATTATAACTAGTGATAGTCATAGGGAACACCAGAGGTGATGTTTTAGAAGAATGGAAAATTCAAAGAGCGTAATACTGCAAAATGACAGATCCAGTGAAAAAAAGTTGTCTGAAAATGTTACTTGCACTCTGCATTAGTACATTTTCTGTATAATCTTTGATAGATAATGAATGTTTCTAATGTTTCTTATCTGTGTAACCAGCCCCTCAGACTTTACATCCTCATCAAAAAGCTACCAGTTAGTTCCACCTGTTTCTGGAAACTTGATAAACAAAGGTCCTGTCACAACACTGGGACAGCTTCACCAGATAGGCTGCACTGGACTCTCTGGAACAAGGAAGTTAAAAACTAACACTTGGTATGGTCCATGAAAACCATGTATATTATCTGGTACTACAAACAATTTATGATTTGAACTGTTTGTTATACTTTCATTCACAATTAACTCCTCTTTCGGGAAAGTAGCTGCTCTGAGGTGGAAACTCCTTTTGTTCTAGGAAAAGCAACAGATTTACAAGAACTGAAGACTGCAGGGTCCCGAGGGGTAATCACAATAAGCTGCAGAACTCCTCAGGCTTTAAAACAAATAATTTCTTACTTCAGTAACATCTCAAGGACTGAGACATAAGCAATTACAATAAGGTACAAAATTTCAGAGGAGCAGATAGCCCTGGAAATCTACCACAACAGCATACCACTGTGTATTATACTTCCATCTTAAAACTCTCTTGAAAACCTCTATGCCTGGATTTCAGTGAGTCTTCAAAGACAGTCTGGGTCTGTTCTCATCAGGTCTTATGTTGAAGAAAGTCTCCCATAGCCAGATCTGGGGTCTCTGGTCCTGCTTTGCTTCTCATCTACTTATACTTTGATTAAAAAAGCCCAACGAGGGATTTAAGTGACCATACAGGCATGGTAACAGCCGTCCTAGCAATTTCTTTTTATTAAGAAACAAAAATATACAACTATTTCCAATGAAACGGTTTATTTTGATGTACCAACAATCCATGTCTATGCTCTGTATCTCCCTGTTACAACCAGATGATCAACATACCTTAGAATCTGTTCAGGACACACAGATATTCTTTTCATAAATTTATGGAATGTGCGGTCCCTGCTTTTGACTTCACTCTTCTCATATTTTTCATTATCACCTTCAACTGCAAAACTATAAGAAAACAAGAAAAGAAAGAAAATTTCCAATAAGGTTTTCAGTACGGTATGCATGCTTTAAAGAAGCAATGGTTACTATTCATTCACATTAAATTATACTAAGTACACTGAAAAAAAAATACATGTTAAATTAAGAGGTAATTCCTGTTTGAGGTTGCAAGTGAACATTTTGCTTCTAGTTCTTCAGTTTCTGGTAGCTTACAATTACTAACGGCATTTCAAACTACCACGAGATTCAAATCCACCAGATACCTGCTTATTCCTTAAAAAAATAATTCCCTTAGTAACTTCTCAGTTTTTCTAGTTTTTAAGTTATGATGTTGTCTTTTAAAATTTTTAATTAAGTGTAATTAAAGTTCTACAATTCTATAAAGGTCAATAAAATTCAATAGGAACACCACCGCTACTAAAAAGTGTTCTATGCAGATTCTGCAATTGACAGTAGCTTTAGTTATCAAAAAATTCAATGTTGTCCACAATTCAGGAAAAGTCACTGTACATGTTAATATAATCAAAAGAGAAATGGTCTGGGTGTAAGTGCTCACTGCGATCACCTAAGTTAATACTGAAAATATTTTCAGTAACTACGTTCAAAAACTGTTTTTCAGACAACCTTTACAAAATCTTCAGGAGTTTTACCATCATCCCAGTTTCTAGTCAAAATCCCTAAGTAAATAAACTCTTAAAAATGCAACTGGAATATAAGAAAAACTTTAGCCTTGTAAAGAAAAAAAAGAGTCAAATGTCACAATATAAACTCATGCTATTTAGCATAAGATACTGTTTAAAACACACTGGTTGGTTTCAGAGATTGATGGTCCACTGCTCTATCTGGAGCCCAAGGACATTCCAACTGCTCAGTCACTCAGAAATAGATGCATCTCCAAATAACTCAAAATTTGACAGAACTGGGTGCATTCTTATGTTCTTCCAGCAAAATACTACACACCAATGATTCCTGAAGGACTGTCCTGGTTTTGGCTGGGATAGAGTTAATTCTCTTCCTAGGAGCTGGCATAGTGCTGTGTTTTGGATTTAGGATGAGAATAAAGTTGGTAACACACTGATGGTTTAGTTGTTGCTAGGTAGTGCTGACAGCAAGTTAAAGACTTAGCAGTTTCCCATGCTCTGCCAGGTGCACAAGAAGCTGGGAGGGGGCACAGCCAGGCCAGCTGACCCGAACTGGCCAAAGGGCTATTCTATACCATACAATGTCATGCTCAGTATGGAAACTGGGGGGAGTTCGCCCAGGGGTAGTGACTGCTGCTTGGGGACGGGCTGGGCATCAGTCGGCAAGTGGTGAGCAACTGCATTGTGCATCACTTGTTTTGTATATTCTTTTATCATTATTATTATTATTATTACTTTCTCTTCCTCTGCTGTCCTATTAAACTGTCTTTATCTCAGCCCACAGGTTTTTTTTCCCCCAGATTCTCTCCCCCAACGCACTGGGGGAGGTGGGTGGAGGGTGAGAGGCTGTGTGGTACCTAGTTGCCGACTGGGGTTAAACCATGACAAGGACCCACTTACAAACAAAAAACATTCAGATTTAGTGAGCATCAGATTTAGATTATCAGTCAGCATACAGGAAACTACATAATCCCTTCAGTTTCAGCATGAAATCCAGACTTGTTCTCACCTTTCTGACATCAGCTGTTCCAAATCAACACCCTCTCTCTGCTGATACTCCTTCAATAGCTTATCTGCATGAGCTGTATCAAGGAAACCAGTGTAGTCTTCCTCATCCACAACACTAATGTAAAAGGGCTGGAACACAGGAGCTGAACTAGATGTTGCCATTACCATTCCCTCACTGACTGGAGGATGCGTATTCAGGGAACCTGACCCATCCGCAGCTTCAGACAAGCGAAGCTGTTGGAACTGGGATGCACACTCCACCTCTCTGGACAAAGAGCTGCTCATCGCTTCATTTAAGCCAAGCAGCTGAAGGGAGGCACACGCAGGAGATTCCGCTCCATCACAGACTCCCCAGTCATCGGCTTCATCACACCAGTCCTTTGCAGCAAAGTTCGATTCTTGTTTCTGAGAAGGGGAAAAAAACCCAAAAAACCAAACAAAAATCCCCGTTGTCAAGATCAGCTACCCTAACACACTTCAAATACGGTTTCATAACATAAGAAAACTAAAACCTTAAAACCTTAACCTAATGCTTAGTGTTATTTTGCTATTTTCCTCACAGTGGTAGTTACCAGCATACCCACATTTACTTTTCACAGCAGCAGTTATGGCAAAAAACACCTCATGCTGGAGAAAGGGAACAAGAATTCACTGGCTTTTCAAATGGCCTTTGTACATCGTGTTGCCATACCTTGGCTACCGGCATGACCACTGACAGCTAGTTTGGGTATGTTTATCTGGATAGAATACGGAGGAAAATAATAACAACGACAACAACAATACCATCATTTTATCAGAGTATAAGATCATTTACCACACCCCAAAATTTCATATTGCAAATGCACCAGCTGAATAAACACTTTCAGCCTGTCATCACTAGTCTGATAGCCATCCTCCTCTTTCAATCTTAAGCCAACATGCAGTTTTTCTTCACAAGCAAAAATACCACAAGTATATTAACAATAACTGAGCCAGATTAATTAAAACTGATGATAAATTTTTTTAAATCTATTTAAATTAGAAATTAAAGAAAACATCTTAAAAAGCCAAACCTAAACAGTATAGCTCAATCATTTAAAGTTGAAAAATAAAGTTTAGGTAGTTCAAGTAATTAAAAGTATTAGATATCAGTTTTGACCATACAGTTGGATTGCAGTCTCCACTTTAAAAGAAGCCTAACGTAGATCACAAACAAGAAGTTAACCTTCCAGTAAATAACGTGTAGTACTCACGGTGTCAAAAATTCCAGGACCATGACTTCTCACGTGACCACATGCATGACTCAAAACTAGCACATAGCACAGCTTCTTGAGAGAGGTTACGGCTACTTAAACGAGTACATGCGAGTGTGAAACTCATCCGACGCGACCGCGTTTTAATTTCACCCGCCCCC